AAAACTGATTGAATCATCTTCGGTTTTAAGATGGTTTTTTATACTTTTTTGTAAGACATCTAGACGACTTGTCAATTCTTCTGCATACTTTCGGCTATGAGTAAGCACTGATGACAACTGTGAACTGTAATTTCTAATTGACCCTACGACATTTATTAAATCAGCATGATTTTGATTTACTGCAAAACTTAGTTTATCCATGTTATTTTTGATTTTTTGTTCATTCACAAAAAGTGGATCTATTGAGTGTTTGGTCAACACTCCGCAACACCAATTTAATCCGTCTCCTAAGAAATCTACTGATCTGGACTTACGAGCATGGTTTTCACTTGAAATAGGTGTGCCGCTTGAACCGATACTTCTTTGAATCCTCCATAAATGTTTCGAAAATACTGCGTTCAAGTGCTTCAGGAATCTGGCGTATTGACACATCTCCGAGGTCGAATTTTCGCAAGCTTCTTTATTCGAACTTATTGGAAATAACGGCTCTGCATGTGATGGCATCTCCGTGACATAGATTAATGGGACTGACGACTGATAAATTATCATTTCTGGTAGATGTGACCAGTAGGCACCCGATACAATGCTTATTTCACTATTTACCCCTATCATACTTCCCAATAGAAATACGAGGGTACTTATAAACATACTCATTATCATTTTGAATAGTGCTGCAATGACTAATGAATAATTTCAACTATTTTTTTTATCGAATAAAATCTATCAACTGTTTGGTTTTATTTAATAATCAGCATTATTTTGTGCTTTCTAATAACACAATTATTTATTTTTCAAGTCAAGCAAAATAATATAAGAAAGAGGCAATTAGTTCAGTTACCTTTATTGCAAAACTCTTACTTTGCATTTATTAGGTGTTATTCAACTTACAACATTTCGAAATTTATAACGCGTTTTTCAAATTTTATTGTTACTCGAGTATTTTATTGCTTATTCGCGCGAATTGTACTTTTTTAATCGATCGACATGTACTGTATCTTCTACCAGGTGTTTTCCTTTCTTCATTTTTAACTTATAATTGACGTCACTAACTCTGTCGCTTATTTCGTATGGTCCGGACCATCTATGTAGCAACTTCTCTGACCTACCAACTTTCCTAAATGGGGTATATACCATAACTTTCTCACCTATCTCGTACTTTACATCGCGATGCTTACTATCATAACGTGTTTTCTGCCTTAGTTGTTCAATTTCAATCCGCTTTCTAACATCCTCTCTAATTCGTTTGATTGTATCGAGCATTTCTGATACCTCTTGATCACCTTGATTATTTACGCCTAATGCTACATCAATAGGCAACCTAGCCTCGCGGCCATATACTAACAAAAACGGTGTTTTTCCCGTTGTTTCCTGAGGAGAGCAATTGTAGGCAAAAGTCACTAGATGTACATACGTATCCCAATCTTTCTGATTTGTACTCACATACATTGATAACATGGTAGCTAGAGTTATAATGTTCTACTAAGCCGTTTGATTTCGGGTGATAGGCTGTAGTTGTTACAGGAAAACTACCCATACCTTTCAACAATTCTGTAACTAATTTTGATGTGAAACATTTTCCTCGATCACTTATAATGTTTTCTGGGCATCCATGTAAGCAAATTATGTTTTCGAGCATAAGGTCTGCTACACATTTTGCAGTGCCGGCGGGCAAAGCCTTTGCTATGGCCCACTTAGTTGCATAGCACATTGCAGTTACTATAACCGAATTTCCTAACATTGTTTTCGGAAATGGGCCTAAAATATCGATTCCAATTTTCGAAAATGGAGTACCTACTTTGATAGGTTGCATCAAACCTGGTGGTGCTCTGGGAACACTTTTACGATGTTGACACTGTACACATGATTTCACGTACTTTTCTACTACCGCATAAATATTAGGCCAAAAATATCTTTTATTTTTCCATACGTTTTCGCAAAACCTAGATGAGCTCCTGTAAGAGGGTCATCATGACAACATAATAAGATTTCATTTTTAACTGCTTCGGGAATTACTAACAATTTAGATGAACCATTTGGACCAAAATGTTTTTTATAAAGTATGTTATCTTGAATTAAATAGCTGCGCGTTTGTTTTATCAATTTAGAATCAGCACTTGCTGGATTTTCAATTGCGGAAATTATTTCACTCAAATAAATGTCATTTCGTTGCAATTGCGCGATTTCTGCCAAACTTTTAGTCTGGATGGTTAATAACGGGATTTCATAAGCTTCGACATCATTTTCGTTAGGATTTGAAATCGGATTTCGTGACAAAGAGTCAGCATCTGTATGTTGTTTACCGCTTTTATGACAAATTTGATAATTAAAATCCTGTAACCTAATTGCCCATCGTGCTAGACGACCGGAAGGGTCCTTATTTTTATGTAACCAGCAAAGAGCATGGTGATCAACTATTATTTCAAATTCTTTTCCCCATAAATAATGCCTAAAAGTTTTGACTGCATAGACAACAGCCAAACATTCTTTTTCGGTAGTATTCCATTTCATCTCTAAATCAGATAGTCTTCGGGATGCGTACGCCACTGGATGCGTACCTGTATCATCAGTTTGTAAAATAATGGCTCCTATACCATAACCACTAGCATCTGTATGAATTTCAATAGGCAATTCGTCCTTGAAATGCCTGAGTACCGGTGCATTTACTAAAAAATTTTTTAAATCCTGAAATGCTTTTTGATGTTCTACTTTCCAAGAAAAGACAATATTTTTTCGTGTTAGTAACGTTAAAGGCCTAGCGATATTCGCAAATGATTTAACAAATTTCCGATAGTAATTGGCTAATCCCAAAAACGATTGAACATCCTTTACATTTTTTGGCACAGGAAATTTTGACACTGCTAAAATTTTTTCATTATTTTTATTTTTAATTTTTTTTATTTTCACAAACAGGAATACAAACGGGACGAACCCAGAAACAGTATTCACATATATACTACTAAATATGTCATGTTGCAATTCAATACAATACAGTAGAAATATTTTATATGTATATGAAAAAAATACTGAACATATCAATTAGGCGATAGTACAAAGTGTTTCTTAAGTTTGTTCACAAAGGTAGTTAAAGAGTCAGAAAAAATATCAATCTCTATTATGTTTGAAATAGAGTTATAACTTTTCAAGCATCGATGTAAAGGGGAATTCAAATAGTAATTTGTGTTTGGTATGGATGTATGGAACAGATTATAATGGCGGGTGGAATATTGTGGAATATTGTAATAAATCAAGTTATTGATGGATGGAGAATGAATGATACCATTTATAATTTTGAAAGAAAATTTGATGTCGGCAATAGCTCTTCTGTCAGCAAGACTGATCAAATTGAGTTTTTGATGTACGAAGTGATATTGTGGAGTGTTATCGAAATATTTTCTGTTGACATAATAAATGAATTTGTTCTGGATACTTTCTATTTGTTTCATGTATATTATATAGTGGGGGTTCCAAATAGTTGACGCAAAGCCTAACAGACTATTTACGTATGACATAAAAAGAGTACGCAAGGTATTATAATTTCTAAAAGGATAAGTTGTTCTTGAAATGAAACCTAGCATTTTGTTCGCTTCCTTAGATATGTAAGAAATATGTTTATTGAAGGTCATTTTCGAATCGAAGATAATTCCCAAATCCTTCACTTCACTACAGGTGTGGAGATTATGATCCTAAATGGTGTAATTATTGGTTATCAAGTTGAAATTTCTACTGAATGTCATCTGATGGCATTTGTTGAGGTTCAGAAAAAGGGCGTTATTCCTGCAATACTCTGAAAATCGGTCAAGGTCCTCTTGAATTAGCTTACAATCGTCCAAGTGTGGAACTGTATGAAATATTTTGAGATCATCAGCATACATTAGAAAATACGAAAATTTGAAACATTCAGAAATGTCATTTATATAAATGTTAAATAGTAGGGGACCTAGATGTGAACCTTGAGGTACACCCGACGTTATGTTAACTGATCTTGAGAGATAGTTGCCAATACAAACAACCTGTTTACGATCACTCACGTAAGATTGAAACCAATTCAATAGGCAGCCGGTTACACCGACATCAGCCAGCTTTTGTACCAGCAATGTATGATCGATCTTATCAAAAGCTTTGCTGAAGTCGGTGTAAACGGCATCCACTTGAATTCGGCTATTCAAGCTTTTCAATATATATTCAGTATATTCGAATAAATTTGTTTCGACAGAGCGCTTTCTGACAAATCCATGTTGTTGTATATTAAAAATTTGCATGACATCATGATAAAGATATTCAAATATTATACTTTCAAACAATTTTGCTAATATACATAATTTGGACACTGGTCTATAATTCTGAGGTAACTGTTTCTGTCCAGATTTATGAACTGGAACAACGAATGCTTTTTTCCAGGCGATTGGAAAATGCCCTTTATCTAAAGATTTGTTAAACAGAAGATAGAGAGGAAATGTCAAACTCTCTGCACACATTTTAATGAAATTTGTCGGAAGGTCATCGGGGCCAGGGCCCTTATTCGGGAGAGATTGTATTTTAGATTTTTTATCACCTGCATCAGTTATTAATGTTACCCAAAGATCCTCTGCTTCGGATGACCAATCCTCTTGTATGTAACTGTTGATTGAGTTATTGACAGCAATCAAGGTGCCACCTCCTTCCATTTTGCAGCAGGCTGAGGATGCTCGATCTCTGCGATATACATTGTAATTTCCAGAAAACACTTCACTATTAAGCACATTATTGTTGAGCCATGTTTCAGTAAAGCACACAATGTCATAGTCACAGATCGTTGTGCCAATATATAGTGTTGATAACTTAGATTTTAGACCTCGGACATTCTGGTAATATACTGATAAAGCCATGGGTACAAACAACTTCTTGAATCTAGTTAGGTTCATAAGATGAAATTACTGTAGTTTCAAGATATCACCTTCCTTTCCTATGCTAATCACCTTCGATCTCTCGTCTTTCCTTACTAAAATGTTTCCATTTCTCACCCAAACAAATTTGAAGTTCTTGCTTTTGGCGGCTTCCTTGGTATTCTTGAGCAGCAACTTCATCTTACTGGTTAGATGTTCATTTATGAATAACTTCTTTGATATATTTTCTATAGCAATACCAGCAGTATTGCTTTCACGCCTGAGTCTTTTGGTTGCAGCTAGAATCGAATCCCGTTTATGCTTATTTAATAGTTTGACTATGATGGGTTTCATCTGTTGAGCAGACGAGGGATGGGGGGCAACACGATACACGGTGTCTATGTCTGCCTCGGCAATAGGACACTTGACGTGTTCACCAATCTTACACATAATGCTCAACAGATTTTCATTTTCTTTGAAGGCCACACCTTGTATTTCTAGGTTATTCGCTCGAGTTTGCTGTTCCAAGAGATCCACTTTGGTATGTAGTTGGGATACTTCTATTTTCAAGTTAACATTTTCTCGGTTCACTTTCTCCAGTGACGCTATTTTCTCGTTCATTCTATTCATAGCGGTTTCGAAAGTGCTGATTTGATTGCTACAGAAATTGACAGAGTCCATAACATCCTCATATTTCTTATTGAGAGATCGCAGATTTTCTTGGATATCTTTCAATATCAAAGTGACTGAAGAAGGTACAGATTCCATATCAGTATCATTGCTTTCGGTTCCAATCACAATAGATGTATTATTTGTCACGTCTCTACAACTTGGGCATATCCAGTGCACTCCATGCATAAGAAATTTATTGAGATCTTGTTTATTAATATCTACACATTTACCGTGGTAAAACTTTCGGCAATCCCCTGTACACTGCAACCCAGGAGATTTATTGTTTATACCTGAAGTACATGATTCACAAACGGGCATCTTGAAGCAAAAAGTGTGATTCTTTTTTCCACGTCGAGCCGTCGGTGACCAGCAAATCGGTGATAAAAACTACACCTGTTTCCTCTAGATACACTACACTATTGAATGTTAAATGCAATTATCAGGACTGGTAGACGTTCTACCGGATATTAATTTTCACCAATATTTCGGCGTGACTCTTGCACAGTACGTGTGAAAATTTCACGAAATTTAGATAAGTATTTCCACTGTATTAGAAACAATTTTAGGGAGCGACCAACACAATGTATGATCAACTCGACGAACGAACGTTTATCAGGTGATAAACCTGCAGCACTTACAATGTGACCTAGAATTTTAACTTGTTGTTGACCGAAATGACATTTGGTGGGCTTTAATTTGATGTTGGCTTGACTAAACCTATCTAAGACCAATTGAAGTTTTTGGAGATGGTCGTCAAAGTCGTGACCTTTGACAATGACGTCATCAAGGTATACCAAACACGTATTCCATTTTAACCCTGCCAAAACCTGATCCACACAACGAGAAAAACAAGAAGGGCTACTTGCTAATCCAAAAGGTAAGACATTAAATTCATACAACCCTTCGGGTACTATAAATGCTGTTTTCTCTTTATCTTTTTCATTTAATTTAATTTGCCAATAGCCTGAGAAACAGTCCAATGTACTAAACCATTTTGAACCATCTAACGCCGATAACAAATCATCTATTATTGGTAACGGATACCGATCTAACTGAATTACTTGATTTAATTTCCGATAATCTACACAGAATCGCCAATCACCTGTTTTCTTCTTAACCAAAACTACCGGTGACGCCCACGAACTATATGATCTCCGTATTATGTTCGCGGCTAACATTTCTTCGATTTGTTTATTTATAATCTCGCGTTCTTTCATTGACACACGATACGGCACCTGATGAATTGGATTTGCATTTCCCGTATCTATTTTTTGTACACATACATTAGTTTGGCCTAACTCGAAATTGTTCGTGGCAAAAACGTCCCTATAATTATACAATAATTCATAAATTTTGGTTTGCTCTACATCACTCAATTCTGTATTCAGATTCAAACCTAAGCTCGTCAAACTCTCGAGGTCCTTAGAAACTTCATGAACAAGAGCAACAGTATCTTGTACCACCGTGCAGAAAACTTTTCCTTCCTGTCTACAAACAGAAGGTACCTCAAAAATTTCATCCTGCCCGAACACAGGGGATCCTGTACTAACTTCTTTTTCATCCTGCCCGAACACAAGGGATCCTGTACTCACGTTATTTTCCTGTATAAATGCAGGAAATTCTGAATTTACCACCTTTTTACCCAATACACCACCATTATTCACCCTCGTTACTGACGGAAGTGCGTGAGGACTAATGCTACCTATACACGTTCCTTCAAAAATTATTATACCTACCCTCGTAGTATTTGTTGCATAAATTATTGGCATTTCTGTTACTAAATGGGCTATCTTACACCCTCTATTCTTAAAAAAATCGACACAAGGTTCAAACTGTAGGTTAATTCCTAGTGCCGTGTTAATTTGAACTCTAATTGTACTCCTTGGAGGTAAACTAACTTCTTTTGTAACTCTAACGAAATTTTCAATAGCCAGGTCATTAAAAATTGCTTCTTGGTTATGATCCGTAAATTTAATACACAAAATTCTATCATTCAAAGCGATTTTAACGGTTTTTGTCAAAAAATTTATGTCTACTTTATGTTCATTATTGAAATCATTTCCCAGAATTATTTTACCTTCGAAATTTTTTATTACAACAAACTGCTGTACCATTTGTTCATTCTCTAATCCAAATTTCACCAAAATAACGCCTAGAATTCATAAAAAATTTCCGCTTGCTGATTTTGCTCTAATATGCGACGTTTTCAAAATTTTATTTTCATCATCTATAAAAGTACTATCAATGAAACTCACGCCTGCGCCGGTATCACAGATAAATTTGAATTTTTGCCCATTTATTGTACCCCAAATTTGAATTGGTTCATAGTCATTATTTTCCTCAAATTGAAAAACTGAATACTCTATAAAATTGTTTTTTCTACAAGTTTGTTTTTTATGACCTAGCTCTAGACAACCATAACATACAGTATTAGACAAGAAATTTTGATATTTGCCATCGTGCCACCCGTTTAGCGGCGCGGTGGTTGGTTTTTTGCGTAACAGTTTTTTGCGTAATGCCCTTGCTTACCACATTGGTAGCAAATTATTTTACCATCGGGAGTTCGACCTCCTGACTTCTGAAAATTCGAATTATCGAAATTTCTTTGTCTATCATTCCTATAATTATTATTATTAGAAGACACCAACCTTTCGGGTTTTCTTTCCAAGTAGGCGATCCGTCTTCGAAGTTCCTCCAACTCCCTCTCGACAGTGCTCGTCCTGCTGTCTTGTAGCCTTGTCCCTGACGTAGATGGTCCTCCACTGACTCGCAGCATCTCTTGAGTGGCCTCTATCTTCTGTAAATTCTTCCTGAATTGTTCTAGGGTTCCATTTTCCATTAAATTTGCTTTTTCCAGAATTGTAGGCTTCAATCCTCGCATAATAAAGTTGACTATCTCGGCTTCCGGCATACCTGGGTTTACTTTGTAGCACAGTGTTAGAACATCGTTGTAGAAACACCATAGATCCTCATCTGGCCTCTGCTTCTTATTCAAAAGTTTAAAATGATTCTGTTCGCTCTGTGCGGCACTTTTGAACGAATCAATTATTTTCTGCTGGGCAATCGCGAATTCGGTACACTGATTCTCGATTGTTTCGAAAAAGTCTAAGGCGGCACCTTTCAAAAAACAAGGTGACTGTACTAACTTGGTTTGATCCGACCAATGATTAGCTGTTGCTGCTCTATTGAAAATCTTGAAAAAATCTTGAACCTTCTCGCCCGCTTTACCGGCGAAAGTTTTAGGTGTAACCGAAGCATAAACTTCAGCCGCGTCTCCCATCTTGGTTTCTTCTCGTTTCAACTTAGCTATAGTTTCTTCTTCGTCTTCTTCGAGTCCCTCGGATTCCACAAAAGTTTCTTCGTCTGACTCAGCTTCTGAATACCTGCTTTCTTCTGGTTCAGGGTTCGTACCTATTTCTTCCTTCACTTTCTCGTCTGCTTCGTGTTTTGCTTTAGTTTTCCTCAACCGCGTCAGCATTAATTACGATTTCCACTGCCCGTATTTCACTTCAGCTCACCCACAATTTTTTATTTAATTTTCTTTGTTTTTCGATTTTTTTTTGTTATTTTTTATAGTTTTATTTACTCGGAATGCCCGGCATGCTCCACCAATTTGTGACGTAGGGGTATGGGGTCGTAGCTATGGTAGTTCAATAACTAGAGCAGTGTCCGCAAAAAGGGGTGTATTGGGGAGTTGACTGATAGATGTTACAAGTTATGTGGTAGCAGTACAACTGAATTGTTAATTATACAAAATGCATTCACATTGCAATAAAATGATTGACGTGGGCTTGAGCTGCGTGGTCTCCCTCCGTGCCCCGCACGCTGAGAATCCTGCTGACTCAGGACAGCACACCGCCGTTGGTTGAGTGAAGGTGGAAGCATGTAGCAGGTACAGGGTGTTCTGCCTAGGAGGGCGCTCTCGCGACGATATTATGAAATTGTTCTTTCGTTTTTATTTTTAAATACATCTACTACTTCATCCGCATCAATTTCTGTACCATCATGTATATTCATGAGAGCCAAGCCGTTGAATCTGTTTTCACTGGTTGTGTTACGTAAATAGTTTTTCAGTCTCCTTAGGCTTGGAAAAGATCTTCCTGGAGTAGCAATGGAAACGGGTATAGTGGCCAAAATTTTTAATAATTTGTTAATGTTTGGATATAGTTTTCGGTCGCACTCATCTAGGCAATCCAAAGCAGAATTTGGGGTTGGGAAGGTGCTTGTTATCACTGTTTACCACACATCTAGTTCTGCTACGACGACAGATGTACTTCTTTCGGGAAGCACTGAGGAGTACAAACAAATTGCCTCTTCAATTCCAGAATTGGCTGCGAAGTTTAGAGGTAACACACAAGATAGTCCGTCGCTACTTTACGGTGCTTCGTGAACCTTTCATTTAATTGTTGAATTGTGTGATCAAGGAATGGAATGAAGATATTGTGATAGCAACGAGTATATATCCGTTGCAGGAATGTTTGAGCGGTTCACTTGCCTTTCGACTATGCGTTGCATATACAGTATGACATCATTTTCTTCAAGCAAAACCTATGCTTCTTCATAGAGATGAGGATACTCGTCATCAGCTTTATTTCTCAGAAGTTGCAAGGTATGAACAACATCACGTGGCTGAACGATGTAATCAGCTCTGTGTTAAGTCGAAGCCCTGAGGGGGCAGAAGGACGATCTAGCCTTCATAGCCATCTAGTGGCTTAAGTGCAAGGTGTATAGGTAGATTCATCAATCATACCTTGCGACTAAGTCGTGCATATAGACCCCTACGTCTATATGCTTACAGAAAAGACATCCATGTCAGATTCTGTAGACTATCGCAACACCTGTAATTCTCAAAGTGGTTTAATGTTCCACTAACAGATGGTGATAAACCTAGATTCTCAAGACTAAGAGATTCTAGGGAAATTTCGTGAATCGATTGTCAGCTGATGCAAGACAGACTGTTTCGACTTGCCATAAGTCTCATCAGTTGCACTGGCCAGCTGACAATCGATTCACGAAGGTTACCTCCATATATCGAACAAGTCGAAGCCCTGAGGGGGCAGAAGGACGATCTAGCCTTCATAGCCATCTAGTGGCTTAAGTGCAAGGTGTATAGGTAGATTCATCAATCATACCTTGCGACTAAGTCGTGCATATAGACCCCTACGTCTATATGCTTACAGAAAAGACATCCATGTCAGATTCTGTAGACTATCGCAACACCTGTCTATCTGTGTTAGTTGCTTGCAGCTGTTTCGATAGCGACAATGTATAGCTCATTAGTTTCTCAAGAATCACTAAGGACATCACGAAATTCGAGGATTGAAGTGTGTTGTTGAGCCTTTGGACGGCTTGTTGCGATGTTTCCTCATTATGGCTAGATTGGAGTTCTTCGAGAGCATTCACAATCGCTGAATTAATTTCTTAGAATCTCATGACAGCTTCATGCTTGATGTGGACCCATTGTGTTTCGCACATTGCAAGCATGCTTTTTTGGTGATCGGCGGGTAACAACTCATTTGAAAATGTAGTGATGAGAACTAAGAAACCAATTGAATGATAAAGTATAGCTGAGTAAGAATAATATTAATTTTTTTCACGAAATATTCATTTCAGTTGAGTAACAACAAATCTTCAACGGTTAAAGTTCAAGAAGATCACAAAGTCCGAAACGTCCACTATTTTTGTCGAGGCAAAGATGGCATATTTTCTTTACTGAATTCTTGGCGTTGAAGAGTTATGATGGTGTTATTTGAGCGTTCCCGGTATGGTTTTGAATATATGGTCTTTAACGAAACCCCATGCGCCGCGATATGGGTTGGTGCTTCATGCAAAGGCCAATAAGTCTTATGAACATGGTTGAACAAAGTTTTCTGAAATACTAATGTATCGTCGTGCGTTGAGATTTTCGTCATAAATAAAAGGACCAATCATCATCCTTGCATGTTTCTAGGTTAAAAACATGGTCATTGTCGTCCGACCATTGATGTCGGTTATGCTGATTGAATATTTTATTGCTGGTTACTCTTGCGTTATCGGTCCAAATGGTATTTCGTAGGACATTCTCATTTTCATTGCATCTTCTGATGAACCAGTTGCGAAAGTTAATTGTGCGTTTTTGATTACCTGGGAATTATTGAAGAGTGAGCCTGACTTTATTAGGTTTAAATTTACGTTTCTTCAAAATCTTCTGGACACGGCTTTTGCTCACACCCCTAGTTACGGCTAATTCTCTGGTGGAAACCTCTGAATTCTCTAAAACCGCTCCAATTACTTCTGCCTGCACTCATTCTCTACTTTCGACAGCATACTGTCTAGATTTGAGCTCGACAAATGATCCATGGTTCATCAAGGTATCTTCCAATCCTGCGAATATTCGGACGAAATATAGGCTGCTGGCGCTCAGGGTATCTTTTGGATAATAGGGATAATAGATTTCTTACAGCTTGAGAATTTTGGTCTGATTCAATGGAGTATATAAACATCTGGCATTCTTTTAAGTTTTCATACATTCTGTTGCAGAGAGTTGTAAACAGCTTTCATTAATTCCAATTAATGTCGAACTGACAGATATTGAAAACAACTGTTGCTTTTCATGGCTTACTTAGTTGAACTGTAACCAAATTGGTATTTTCAAAGAGAAATATGTTATATTGACAGCAAGGATGACCAGACATTTCTTGACATATAATCTGCAGAAGTTCAAAGAAATTCCAATATCTACCTCCTATCCCTATTCTTCCTAGGAACGCACGATGTTCTCTGAACATTATAGGGATTCCCTTTCGTGCGCTCCAAGCGATAAAAAAAATGGTTTCTATTCAAAAAAACAATTTGGCTTCGATATCAAACAATTGATACTCGATATATTTCTCGGCAGATGTATTTCATTCTACGTTAAAAAGTGATTATAGAAAGTTCTTTCTGTTTGGAAAAATATCTATCAATGAAAAAGTTATGGCACATTTTCGAAATCGGGTGAATGTAAATTTTCACCTAGATCTCGAAAACGGTTATAGATATCGAAATGCGGTTTCTACCAATCGACGTATCACAACAATTGAGCTCTAGACTCCTTGGTCAGTTTTTCTATAGCTGTTCTGGAAATAGGAAGCACTCCCTAAATGAAGCAATTTGAGACACCTTGTACATATATATAATCGACTTTCATGATCATAATTAGAGAACACTATATTAATGCATAATTTCAGTCTCACACGTGATATTGAATATTTTATCCATTCCGATATTTTGTTGTTTTGAGCAAAAATTAGAAACGTTAAAAATTTGCTTCAAATATGAAGACTACTCACTTGTTTGATGTACATGATATTGTTCACAATTGAAAAAGTAGTAAAGTGGACAAGTCCCATAAGACTGTACTCCTGATTGTTGAGTGTTATCGATTTCATGACTGTGCCCAGAAGACATTTTTTGCGATTCTCAGAAAACACATCCTTGGATAAAGTGCAAGTTGAGATACTCGAATTCATTATATGGTATGAAGTGAATTCTGTTATGTTTACTGTAAACTGCTCTCTCACACTCTCCACAGAAAGAATTATTTTGGCGTTTTTCAATAATATCATCGATAGTTGCTTGTAAAAATTCGTAGCCATTCTCGAAAATAATGTGTGTATTAAGAGGGAGGAAATTCAACCACTTCACTCTTCGATTTTTGTATGCACTACATGATGAAGATATAGAATAAAATAAACATTTCTTGAATAAAATCTCAAATGAATGTGCAACATTGCAGTTGGCGTCTAATAATATCAGTCTGCGGGTTTTCATTCCTTTCTTCAGGAAATTAGCAGCATATAATATGTCAAACCATGTCTTGAAATCATCTTTCTGGTATTTTCCCTTCTCAAAAAGGCGAGATTTCCGATAGGTAATCAGATGACTGTATTCAAGTTTTGGAGTCCTCACAATGGAATGCTGTTTGCATAATCAATGTAATTAGGGAATCGAAAGCGCATGTATTTGTGACGAAGTTCTTCACGGTTTTCATTTTAATTTCTGGATATATCAAACCATTTGGAAGCAATGGTACTGAAATAGTGTTGAAACCTTTTGTGGAATTTCAATCAGCATAGTCGCATAAATAATCATTTTTGTTACCGAAGGTAATGAAACGTCATTTTGTTGTTGTGTCCCTGAACTATTGTTTTTTTTGTCAAAATGTGAAATTGTTAACATTTGTGTGTTGATTGTCCCCACTGCCTAATGTACAATTTGATACGTCTCTAGGTTTGAAACTGTTATCAGTTCGAAAATCAGAGCCATTTCCATAATTGTATACCTGATTTGTAATGCTGAAATTAAAGGATTGAGAGTAAGCTACCTCCTGTATTTCTTGGACATGAGGCGTCATCTATCAACCAGTGACCTGAGCTTAGTGTTTTAATACGGTGTAGATTACTTCCTGCTACTTCCGCTAACTGTTGTCTAGTTTATCAGGCGAGACAAAGAGTACCGAACTTTTCGCTGTCTCATAAAATTTCATTTTCTAAGTGCGTTTCTTTCAGTATTTGTTGGGAAAGACCGGTGAGTACATATACAGCTTAGAACTTTTTAGTTGTAGATAGAATTTCACCTTATCAAACCTGAATATTGTTTTCCGGTTTCTGATACATTTTTCTGAAATTTTTTGTCTCCTATTTTTTACCGGGCCATATCAACCCTGAGGGCAGAAATAAGGCCATTATTCGATGTTTTTCGAAATTTTGTTTCCTTGTTTTTGTGTTATGAGAAACCTTCATTCAGAATGTATTTTTAATTTCATTATGGGTCCATAAAGGTTTGTGCAAAAAATCACTAGTTCTGATTATTGAATAATTATATTACTGCAACATACTTGAACATAGACCTCATTACCCCAATGTACATACCTCATTTTCACTGATTTCATTTGATGAATCGCCAGTGATACTGAGAGAAGATTCATATTTCGAATTCGCATCGAACATTTCTGGTGGTAATGGTTCTTCTTTGAGCCAAGTGAGGTGTTTGGAGACCATCTTGTCAACACGTGATGGCACTTGGTCAAAACCGAACCTTTTCATCTCTGAAAATTGTCCTTTCACTGTGGACCAGGACCGTATTGTAATGTCAATTTAAAAGACTGGATACATCATTGCTGTCCATAAAGGAAGATGAAACATCAGATCTCTCAACATCATCGCGGCATTTGGCATAGAAAACGTTGACATTGAATACGCGTCTTCTTCAGTTAGGATAGCAGTTTTTGCAGCTTCCTCATACAACAGTTTTGCCCAATCAATCCATGTGTCAGCTGAAGAATCCTCAGAACATAAAATAGATTCGATTTCATCACTTTCCATGTCTTCATTGTCATTTTCTACTTCATTTTCTTCCGTAGATTTAGTGATATCTGGCGTTCCTTTGATCATGTTATCAGCATGATTCAGGTATCTATAGTTTCATTTCCATTTAGACTTCTCTGTTCGAATTCAGGCTATTTTATTTGAATTCATAATGTTTTCTTTGAAATTTTTTTTTTTTTCATAGAATTCAAACTTTTTTCCCGATTTGAGACTTCCTCTTGGCAGATTACAAGAGATGGCAACGCACTGAGGATTCTGCATTTTTCCTGTTGCTAAACTATAAGGGATGGCGACGTACGTCTGAAACTGATGTTCTCAACTTCCCTATCGTTTGTTTATTGAAAGCCTAGAGCAGTCACTATTGTATGTTTCATTTTCATTCAGACTTTGTTTGAATTCTTTTTTCTTCGAATTCAGACTTATTCTTCTTCGACTTTAGACTTCCTACTAGCAGATTACTTGATATTGCGACGCACACTGGGGATTCTGCAGTATGCCTGTTGCTGAACGATAAAGGATGGCGACATACGCCAAAAACTATGATGTTCTCGACTCCCTCATGGTTCGTATATTGTAAGTTTTGAACGGCCACTGTCATGTGTTTCATTTTCATTCAGACTCTGCTGTTCGAATTCAGGATATTTTATTTGAATTCATAATGATTTCTCCGAAATTATCATTTTTTCATCGAATTCAAACTTTTTATCTGACTTTAGACTTCCTCTTGGCAGATTATAGGAGATTTCGACGCACTAGGCATTCTGAATTCTGCCTGTTGCTGAACGATAAGGGATGGCGACATGCGCCAAAAACTGATGTCCTCCACTTCCTTATGGTTCGTATATTGAAAGTTTAGAACGACCACTGTCGTGTCAATCATTTTTATCCAACCTTGTCTGTTCGAATTCAGGCATCTTATTCGAATTTATAATGTTCTATTCGAAATTATTATTTTTTCATCAAATTAAAACTCTGTCTCTGACTTTAGACTTACTCCTGGCTTATTACAGGAGATCGCGACGCACTGAGGATTCTGCATTCTGCCTGTTGCTGAACGATAAGGGATGGCGACATGCGCCAAAAACTGATGTTCTCGACTTCCTTATGGTTCATATATTGAAAGATTAGAGCGGCCACTTTTGTGTGTTTCATTCTCATTCAGACTTTGTGTTCGAAGGCTATCTTATTCAAATTCATAATGTTTCCTTCGAAATTATTATTTTTTCATCGAATTCGAACCTTTTCTCTGACTTAAAACTGCCCCCTGGCAGATTATAGGAGATGGCGACACATTGAGAATTCTGCATGTTAGGATTCGAGAGATCATCCTGTGTAGCTGTTTGAAGGTGTGGCAGATGTCAAACATGGAAGCTACGCAATTTTTTTCATTTCTACCAAGCAAGCAAGAATTCGTTGTTTTGTTTTATATAATAAATAATTGATACTGTCAATAAGAATTAATTCTTATTCACATTTCAATTTCTTCGATTGAAAGCTTTGCAGAATCGAACTGCGTATTTTCAAATATAACATTGGTCCTCATCGAGTTGGATATAACAGGAATCCGCATTCATTCAAGAACTCAGCCAGCATTTAATCGGTCGAGTTATCAATTTCAAATCAATCATTCAACAATTCAATCAAGCCCCCAGCAAGCATTCAAGCAGTCGGCTTATTAAGCATCATCACAATTTCAAGCAGCAGTTAGGTACATTCCAAGTCATCTCTCCATTCTACAAGATCAGCAAGGTAGGTACGTGAGGTTGATTATCATTGCATCAATTTTGAAGTGATTTCATCCCATACAATTCCTTATCCCCTATCATTCTTAGTCAATTGAGTTAGAAAAGTATTGAGCATTATTTTTCTAGTAATATCTCATATCAAGCGTTTATTCATTCAAAATGGATGAAGAAACAACACAAAAATTGAAATCATCGCATATCAAAAGACGAACTCTGAAAGGTCAAATAACACGTTTCGATAATTTCTTGAGAAATTTCGATGATTCAAAGGTAATCAGTGAAATTGTCAAGAGACTTGAAGTTATCGAACCTTTATTAAACGTTTATTACACCAATCAGTTTGAAATTCAACTTTTAGACGAGAATGAAGATGATGAAATCGAACTCACCTCATTTGAGAATCATTACTTTGATGTAATTGGTAGAGCACATACAATTATCACAGCTTCAATGAGCAAGCCTATTGAAACGATGTATGAGACAAATCAATAAAATCCTCAAATTATGCAACAAAATACTCATCATGATGATGCAAGTTCATCTCAATCACCTATTAATCAAATGATAGATAATCAGCAGCAGTTCAATTTGAAAAACGTCAAACTACCTACCTGTCATTCAATTACCACAATTCACATGGTCCTACAGTGGATATTTACAATTTTTTGATACATTCAATCCTCTCATTATCACAAATCAATCATTATCGAATGTTCAGAAATTCTATTACTTGAAGTCTTGCCTACAGGGTGAAGCCGAAAAGGTAATTCATTCTTTGGAAATAACAGACAATATTTATGAAATAGCATGGCAGCTCTTGAGAAAACGATTTGAAAACAAAAGGGTAATGATTACCGGTCATCTCAAGATTATTTTTGAGCTTCAAACAATAACAAAGGAATCTCCAATTTTATTGAGACGTTTTTTAGATAGCTTTCTGAAATATATTCGTTCACTGGAAACTTTAGGTCAGCCCATCGAATCATGGGACACCATATTGATACATTTGTTATCTGGAAAATCAGATTACAAAAGCAAACGACAATGGGAATCTACTATAAAATCGAACGAATTACCAAAAATGGATGATTTCTGTAAGTTTTCGAATTAGCGATGTCAATTATTGGCAACATTATCACCAAATAACTCCACACCCCATCAGTTGTATTCACGTTACAATTTCCATACTCAGAAGCATGAAACAAACTCTAATTTCAAGAAAAATGAACAAAAATCATTTAGCTATATAGCGAATTTCAAGCCAAAATGTAACTTTTGTTAGGGAGCACATCTGATTTACCACTGTGGGAATTTTCTGAAATATTGCTTAAATATGAATCATTCCCTTCAGGAATGCAAGTCATCCAATTGCAGAGTATGTAAGCAACCACATAACACTTCATAACATACAGAGCCTCATGCAAAAGAGTCAACCAATCAAAATACAATTTCTGTTGAAGAGTCTGGTATCAATGCTTTCTGCAATGAAAATGCAGCACCTTCGATATTGTTATCAACAGCTATTGTATATATCAAAAATTTTATAGGCCACTTGTTAAAATGTCGTTGTTTGTTAGATGGTGGGTCTCAAAGCAACTTTATAACATCAGATTTGGTTGAAAAACTGCAATTGAAAATATACAGATATCCCAATATCAGGTATTAATCAATCCTCTTCAAACATTTCAACTAGCATTCAGGGAACAATAGTATCGTTACACACTGACTATTCAGAAGATCTAAGATTTCAAATATTGGAAAACATCACAGGAAACATTACTCAAAAGACTTTTTCAATTGATCACATTGAAATTCCAGAAGGCATAGTTTTGGCTGATCCAGATTTCTATAGGTCTAGGAAGATTGATATGCTTAAAGGTGCTTCAATATTCTTTGAACTCTTGAGTGCTGGTCAGATAAAACTGAGTAATCATGCGATACTTCAATGCTCAAAACTTGGCTGGATTATATCAGGTCCTTTCAATAAAGTTAGCAATCATAAACAAATGAGTTTACTTTCTATTAATCAAAATAATGAGCTATTTTCTCAATTAAAAATATTTTGGGGAATTTAACATTGTCCACACCAACTAAAGATGAACAATATCGTGAGAATCATTTCATTCAAAACCACTATCGAGATTAAACTGGCAGGTTCGTAGTTTCGCCTTCGCTGAAGGATAATTATCGAGATTTGGATGATTCTCTCAATATTGCACAAAAACGATTTCACTGTTTAGAGAGAAAATCACATAGCAATCCACATTTATTTAAACAATATTCTGAATTCATCATAGAATACGAATTTTCAGGTCACATGACAAAACTCAATGATTCACAAATTCAAATCGATGATACTTCTTATTATTTGCCACATCATTGTGTATACAAAGATTCGAGTGTTACTACCAAAATACGAGTTGTATTTGATGCATCATGTAAAACAATTAGCAACTTATCATTAAATGATGTTTGTTACGTTGAGCCAAACGTGCAAGACGATTTATTTTCAATAATTATCAGATTAAGATTCCATAATGTTGTTTTGAAGGCTGATATTACAAAAATGTACAGAATGGTGAATATAAGTTCTGAGCAGCGCAATCTACGAAGAATTCTATGGCGGGAAAAACCTGATCATGAATTAAAACATTTTGTACTGAATACTGTAACCTACGGTACGGCACCTGATTCTTTTTTGGTTACGAGAGCACATTAGCAAGTAGCAATAGAAAATCAACATGAATATCCAATTGCCAGTAGTATTGTAACGCTTCAAATTTTCAAGGTCACAGGGTTCAATCTGTCGATGGACAAATTAGCATTTTCCGGTTCACTACAGAGGAGATGGGAGTGGGTTTACAGGTGGAAGTTGGAATAATTGAAATGGGCGCCAGGTAGTTTATTTTTCCTCGGATGCCACTAAGT